CCCACACCAGCTCCAGAACCAAGCCCAGCCACTCACTCTCTAGAAGAGGGCAGTTTATCACTTTGTCCCATTACAGTCCTATGAGGCCCGGGACAGCTGTACTCAATCAGGAATTTGCGCCACACAGGAGGCCAGCAGCCCAGGAGTCCCTGGGGGTCTGGGCCGGGCGCCCAGCCCTGTGGAGGCCAGAGAGCTGCCTGCTGAAGGCTGTGGGCACGCGCTGAGTTTGGCCTGCCAAGAGCCAGGGCCTAGTTAGGACTTGGGACAGCTGGGCAGCCAGGCTCTCCTCTTCAGGCCAGAGCCCACCCCACACCCCTCCTCCTGGAGCCCAGCCCTAGGGTCATTTTTAGAGTAGATGGATCTGCTGGTTCTCAATGTCTGGCACCCTCTCTTAACACAAATGAGTTCAAATGCTATTTGTTTCTAAGCCATCACCCTCAAGAACGGCACAGAGCTGGGGGATATGCCAGTACCTTCTATTCCAGACACCATGTCCTCAAGATAAAAGCCATTAAGGGCAGGGGGTCATTGAGGTAGGCCATCAGCATGAAAACCGAAATACTTAATATAGCTGAGATTTCTCTCCTGTTGTACCAAGCCCCAATTTTTAATCATAGGTTCAACAGACAGCAAACAACTCTGTCCAGTTGCTCAAAGAATTTCTAAATGCTCACACTTTCTGCACCTGTCACACTGAGGAGCAGTGAGGAGAACCTGTCAGGACAGCACCAGGCCATCGGCCACACTTTTGAGTTGCGTCTGCTCAAAGACTAGAAGCAAATGCTAGATGTGGAATAATTATTTTCCTCTCTGGATTAATTTTTCTGTGACAGAGTTATACTGTTCAAAATGAAAGCTGGTTTAGGGGCTGGGGACATAGCTCAGTGGTAGAGTGCTTGCCTCACATGCACAAGGCCCTGGGTTCAATCCCCAGTGCAACAAAAAAATGAAAGCTGATATAAAATATACAGAAATAATCACTCAAAAGAAGATACATTTTCCCCCAAGTTCAGGTTTATGGACAAGGCACAGCTGATATAAATCAAAGCCATCTTCCATCTGCCTGGTTCTGTCCCCTTCCTTTCCCTCCTGCCTTTCACCCCGTTGTCCCCAGCTCCTGCTCCCATTAATCTTCCGCTTTCCCTAGTGGCAGGTCCTGGACTCTGGTCCCCCTGCTGTCACCGTTCCAGACTCCCAGGAAATCACCTGACCTCAGACCAACGTCTTTCCTTGTGCAGGTTGGTGATGAGACCCGCCTCAGAGGACTGTCACAGAAGTGAGGTCACCAAGAGGGAAAGCTCTGCAAGTCACCGAGGAATAGGCCCTGAAGAGTGAGCCCCGGCCACTTGCCCTCGGTCCCCCAGCCTCTGGCCAGCTCGGGTCAGCCTCCCGGGCTTCCTGGCCCTCTGGGCCTCTTCTCAGGCAACCACTCTCCTCCACCGCCTGTTGCCAAACAGACCTTTTCCAGGAGGCCTCTCCAGCGCGTCCCCACGGTGCACACACAGGTGCTTCTGTCCCTCAGAGCCATGGTGGCCCCTCCCAGGGTAAACACCCGCCCAGGCTGCTGGATTTTGTCCCTCCTGACAGCCAGCGGCGGGCACCCTCCTACCCTCAGTCTCGGTAAGCTTGTCTGCTCCAGGTACGGCATGTAGGGAAATCAAAAGGTCTGTTCTTTTGTGTCCGGCTTATGTCATCTAGCATGTCTTCAAGATTCATCCACCGTGTCCTGCATCAGAACTTCCTTTCTATCTACCTATTGATTTGTTTGTTTGTTTATTGGTTCTGGGGATTGAACCCAGGGGTGCTAAACCACTAAGCCACATCCCAGTCCTTTCTGTATTTTCTTTAGAGACAGGGCCTCACTAAGCTGCTGAGGCTGGCTTTGAATTTGTAATCCTCCTGCCTCGAGCCTCCCAGTCACTAGGATTACAGGCATGTGCCACTGTGCCTGGCTCCTTTCTTTTTAAGGTGGAATAATATTCTATTGTATGTACATATCACATTTTGTTCATTCATTCATTTATTCGTGGACATTTGGGTCACTTCTACTTTTTAGCTGTTGTTTTAAAAAATGCCATTATGAAGCCAGGTGCAGTGGTGCACGCCTGTCATCCCAGCAAATCAGGAGGCTCAGGCAGGAGGATCACAAGTTTGAGGCCAGCAAGACCCTGTCTCAAAAATAAAGTTGTTTTTTTTTTTAATAATTGTAATATTTATTTTTTAGTTTTCGGTGGACACAACATCTTTGTTTGTATGTGGTGCTGAGGATCGAACCCGGGTCGCACGCATGCCAGGCGAGCGCGCTACCGCTTGAGCCACATCCCCAGCCCTCAAAAATAAAGTTTTAATAAAGAGTTGGGGATGTAGCTCAATGGTAGAGTCCCTGGGTTCAATCTCCAGTACACCCACACACACAGAGAGACCTCTAAGACATCGTACAAATGTCTGTTTGAACCCCTGCTTTCAGTTATTTTGACTACATCCCTAGAAGTGAAGTTTCTGAGTCATATAGTACTACTGTGTTTAATTTTTTTGCCAACAACTTTCTATTTTCTGGGTTTTTGTTTTTAAAATATCCATCCTAATGGATGTGGTGGGGTATCTCACTGTGATTTTTATTTGCATTTTTGTAGTGATTGGTGATTTTTGAGCATCATTGTGTCTTGGGAAGTACTGGGGATCAAACCAAGGACACTGCATATGGTAGTGCTCCCCTCACCTTTTAAATTTTCTTTAGAGACAGAATCTCACTAAATTGCTCCAGGGGAGCCTCGAACTTTCGATATTCCTACCTCTGCCTCTGGGGGAGCTGGGATCACAGGCGAGCCGTGAGCATCTTTCCCCCTACTTACTGCTCACCTGTGTATCTTCAGGAAAATGTCTGTTCAAGTTCTCTGACCACTGTTTAATCAGATTGCTTATTTTGGGTTGTTGATCTGCAGCAGTTCTTTATATATTCTAAATATTAATTCCTTATCAGATACATGATCAGCAAATACTTTCTCCCATTCCTGGGTGGCCTTTTCGCTCTGTTGATTGAGATACAAAATACACTTTTAGTGACACAGACAAGAAATCATGGCTTCACCCAGTGCCATGAAACCTGTTTTCTTTTTCTTTTTCTCATTTCTCCTTCCGCTCCCTTCTCTTTTCTCCTCCTCCTCCTCCTCCTCTTCCTCCTCCTCCTCCTCTTCCTCCTCCTCCTCCTCTTCCTCCTCCTCCTCCTCCTCCTCCTCGACTGAACCCAGGAGTGCTCTACCTTTGAGCTACATCCCAGCCCAAATTGTATTCTTTTTTTGTTGCTATTGTAAATGGAATTGTTTTCTTTTTCTTTTGGATCATTCATTATTAGTACATAGAAACATCTGATTTCTGCGTGTTGATTTTGAATCCTGCAATTTTGCTGAATTGATTAGTGGGTTTTTGTTTTTGTTTCTTGTGGAATCCATAAAACATGTTTTTTTTTTTTTTTTTGTGTGTGTGTGTGTTTGTTGTGGTCCTGGAGATTGAACCCCATCCTGGTATGACAGTGGTTTGACACACCCTCCAGCACTGGACCCCACCCTACCCCACTTTTGTTCAAGACTGGGTCTTTAAATTACCCAGATTGACCTTTAACTTGTATCCTCCTGCTTCAGCCTCCCGGGGAAGCTGGGTTCACAGGCGTGTGCTACCATGCCAGGCCAAGGTTTATATATATATATATATATATGTGTGTGTGTGTGTGTGTGTGTGTGTGTTGTAGTTGGACACAATATCTTTATTTTATTTTTATGTGGTGCTGAGGATGGAACCCAGGGCCTTGCACATGCTAGGAGAGCGCTCTACCGCTGAGCCACAACCCCAGCCCCAGGCCAAGGTTTTTGTTATAGTTTTTCTCTTTACCTGGAGGCCTGGGTAGGGACAGGTTTCCTTGAAATCTTCCAAGTTCTGTGGGTAAGCTTTTTCTAGGTCCCCATTGACTAAGGGTGCAGGCTTCATGGTCCCCACAGATTTCGGGAGTGCCGGTTCCAGCTCCCTGCCCTGCATGGCCACGACAGCACCCTGCTGGGTGGCTGCGCCAGTCTCCCTCTGGTGCCCTCCAAGCCCTTCCCGCAGAGCTCCCGCTGCACCAGCTCATGCGTCCTCTGCTTCTCTGCTGTCTCCTACTTTGGAAAGCAGACCCACTCTATCTCCTGACTACGTGACACCCGAGGGGTCCCAGCATCCGTTTCCAAATGCGCACCCCAGCACGAGCATTCACAGAACACACCTGGGGCCAGACCCTGCCCATGCGAGGGGCCAGACGCCAGGACACAGCCAGAGTGGGAAACACCTTGGGCCCTTCTCCCACCACAAGGGTCCTGCCTCCCCTGGGCTGGGAGCCAGGCAAGGCCTCACCATGCGGGGCGTTGTGGTCTTCCCTTCTAAAGGCTCACGATGCGCAGATACCACTCGAGCCACTGTGGGATCTTACATCTCATTACTCCTTCCTCCGGCCCTGTGGGTAGGCACTATTATTGTCACTCAGTACTGCCAGAAACGCAGATGGCAAGGGGCAGGACTGGGATGCAGACTTAGGTTGGACCAACCTTTTACCAAACATCTCATCTTCCTGTGTCCTTCCAAAGCCACCGTGGCTTCCCTGTCTCACTGGATCCATCCTCTGGTGGTAGATCTGGGTGGTTTCTCTCCTTAGCACCCAGTGGGTGTGGCCCGGGGGCCACCAGCCACATCTCTGCAGATGTTTTGCCCCTTGAGACTCCGTCCGCAGCTCGGGAGGGACTGCAGAACTCACACAGCCCTTGGCCTGCGCCCCTGTTACCAGAGAAAGGAGGCTTTGCCAAGGACTCAGGGGGAGTGGACTCGGCTCTGTTTGGGACCCAGCCCTCCCCGAGACATTGTAGAGCCGACGGGGCTTCCAGACACAAGCCCTGCTGCCCCACCCCAGCCAGGGTGGTGCTTGTGTGGGAAGGACTTTAAATCCAGCCGCCAGACCCCTGGACGGGAGAGGCAGGGAGTGCTGGCCACCATGCACAGCTCCTGTAGTCTCCGGGCGCTGCTGCTGCTGCCACCACTGCTGCTGATGACCACCCCAGACCCCGCCAGAGCCCTCACAAAGGATGAGCAGCGTGCCATGGTGGAGCTGCACAACCTCTACCGTGCCCAGGTGTTCCCGCCGGCCTCCGACATGCGACGGATGGTGAGTGCGGCTGGGGGAGCGGTGCCGGGCAGGGCCCACCGCCCAGTGCTCCTCCCCACTTCCACCCCCCATGCTGAAGCTGGCTGTCTCGGGAGACCCGCCTCTGGGGCCAGTGACAGGGTCCTGACATTGTTCACCTCACAGGTTCCCATGAGCGGCCCCATAATACAGATGAGGAAACCGAGGTTCAGAGGGACATGCTTGGGCTCCTGCAGCTCAGAGAGCCAGATCTGGAAGCCCTGGCTTCCCACTCCAGTGGCCCCTCCCAGCACTTCCAAAAATGCATGTGCCTCTGTAAGGGGGACACCTTTGTGACAAGAGTCTTGAGAAGCCCCTCAAGATGATGGGGAAAGGAAGGGCAGCTGATGGGTCTGCACTTGGGGCAGGAGGGAGGTACTGAGGAGGCGGGTGGGAGCAGGAACCAGAAGCAGAGGGAGCTCTGGACCCCACAGTCCAAATTCTGTCTCCATCACTAATGAGACCTATGATTTGGGCCAAGTCCTTTCAGCATCTGTCATTTTCTCATCTGTAAAATGGGGTCATAATCTCTCTCTCTCTCTCTCTCTCACACACACACACACACACAAACACACACACACACACACACACACACAGACACCACTGATTGAACCTCACAGATATAATTTTGTGGGCAGGGATGAAATCTCAAAAAAAAAAAAAAAAAAGTACATAAATATACTATTTATGTACCAGTGAGAAACAGATGCAGGAAAGGCACATGCATGTGTGTAAGGTGACAGAAATCGGATTTTTCCAGGCAGGGAGAGCCATTTGGTGGCAGGGTTAGGAGGGATGTCTGTGCTCAAGATTAGAGATGAGGTGAGGAAATCCACTCCCTTCCTGACCTTCCCCGTGGTCCTCTCCAGCCTCCCCGGGGGGCCTGGGAGGTGGGTGGGCAGTGTCCAGGAAGCCCTGGAGCTGGTCTGAGAGAGCAAGTCACCCCTGGGGAGCACAGCAGTGAGCCTGTGGGCCCAAGGCCTAAATTCTAACCTCAGCTCCGTCCCATCTGGGTTAGTGACTCTGGGTGCCCCTTTCCCTTCTGCTTCCTGATGGGAAGATGGGCCTGGCAACCCCCGTCCTCAGAGTCAGACAGGATGAGACGTGTGAAAGCTGTGGGAAGGGCTCTGCCTACACGCCCAACGCCCCATTCACAGCCCGTTGGCCTTGGCAGCCCGGAAATGCAGACGACACAGAGCCCCGGATGATGGCCTCCACTCTGCCAACAGCCCCCTGATTGCGGCCTGGGACCTGTTGGGCCTCGGTGTCCCTGTCTGTAGATCCCCAATGCCCTCCAGTCTTGCAGGCCCAGGATGAGGGTCTACGCAAGCTGGAGCAGTTCCCAGACAAGAGGTGCCTCCTGGAGTATGGCCACATGCTGGGAAGCAGTGCCAGATGTCAGAGTGATGTGCAGCTGCCTCGTGGGAAGTGATAAGGTGGAAATGAGGCTGGGCCAGTGTCAGGATGCGGTCGCGACAGGACTCAGGCTCCGCCTCAGTAAGGGGTAAATGCAGAGCCCCTGGAGCCAGATGGCCTGGATTCTAATTTTGGCTTTCTCAGTGATTAGCTGTACGACTTTGGCCAAGGTATTTATTTAACTCTTCTGTGTTTCAGTTTCCTCATCTGTGAGGTGGGAATGATAATAGAACAGCTCCCTGCAGGGTAGTTATACAATTAAATGAGCAAGATGTGTAAAGCTCTAGGAACAGTGCCTGACACACAGCAGTGCTCAATGAGTGTGTGTGTGTGTGTGTGTGTGGCACTGGGGATTGAACCCAGGGCCTCACACATGCCAGACAAGTGCTCGACCATGGAGCCACACCCCCTGTCGCACACTGGAGAGAATGGATCCCGGGTGAGGCAGGTTTGTCTTATCGCAGCTGCTCCCCTCTCTCTTAGCCTCCACTCTACTTGTCACCACTTTTACCTTCCAGAGGGTTCCATTGAACCCCACTCCTACCTCCCCACCCTCAGCCTTTTCTCTCTTTGACACAAACCAGGTTCAGTCTTCCATTTTCTGCACCCAGAGACTCCTAGGATAGCCCCCACCTCCTTCCCAGCCGCTGGCCTCTGCTACAAGAATGAGAGCTCTAACACATGGCTCTGCCCCTTGTCCAAGACCTTCAGTGGCTCCCACTGGCTCCCGACTGCCTCCTCATTGAGAAAGCCCTGTGTGTTCTGGCCGCTGCCTATCTCTCTCCAGCCCCCTCTCCCGCTCACCCTTAGCCTCCAGTTACCTGAGCAGCTTGGCTTTCCTCAAGTCTGAGGAGGGTAAAGGCTTGGAGTACGGATTGTCCCAAGGGGAGTGGGAATGTCTCAGCTCTGTCCTTTGCATGAGCGCCTCTCCCCCGCCGCCCCCGCCGGCTCCACCTGGCCAACATCTTTGAACACTTGGCTGGGTGTCCCCTTCTCCACCCTCAGCCTGGGCTAAATGGCCCTCTTTGGTGCCTGGTAGTGCTCACTGCTCATGGTATTTACCACATCCTGATCCAGCTGACTTTACAACCCTATGAACTTGGGCTCCTTGGTACTTGCTGTTGTCCTAGTGCTGACACAGTGCCCAGGAGTATGGAATGAATGGAAGGACTAGGGAACTGGCTCCCAGTTGGTGACCAAGTGGCCAAGGTGGATGGAGCACCTCTACAGGGCGCACTGGATGACTGACTGAGAAGCCTTCATACCCAAAGCAACGACTCTGTAATGGTAGGACGTCAAGCGTCTAACCTGGACTCTGTAGGGAGCCTGCTTTAAGCAGAGCCACTCTGCCATCAATAGTCGACAGTATGTGTTAAGCACGACTGTGTCAGACACTGGACACATGACTGCCCTACCCTGAGGGAGTGTACTGTCTAGCCTGGAGCCTGCAGGTCACCCCAGATGGCATTCTGGTCCACCCCCTCTCCAACTCTTCCACCATTGCTGAATTTGACAGGGACCAGTGATTTGGGACAAAAATGTCCAGAGAGAGAAAGGGATTCATTGAGGTCCCAGCCCTAAACTTGTCCCAGCCTGGACCTTCCATCCCCACTCCAGCAGCTGCTCGGGAGCCCTGAGTGGGTGGGGAGTGGGCGTGGCCACACAGCCCCCTCCTCTGGGGTCACCGGGCTCCTGCTGCTTTATGGGCTGTCTGGCTCTCAAAGCTGGCTGAGCTTGGAGGGTGGAGCAACAGTTGCCGCCAGGACATCCATTTCCAGGAGAGGCCAAGGACAAAGTTTAATGGGATCCAGGCCTCCCTCCCCAGTCCTTTGGGTCAGATGCCTTGCTAGTTCCTCCTCCCACCCACACTCAGTCTGTCCTCCCAGCCAGAAGCAGAACCTCAGAGGCCCTCTATCCTAACATGCCCCCTCCCAGCATCTCACCTGAGGCCCCCTGCCTCTGGGACCTGACAGCTGTGGGTTACTAGGGCCAGAAGATAGGCAGCCGGGCCCTTCAGTGAGGGGCCTACTGCATTGTCACACAAGACGCTTAATTTTCTTGGGGAAAGGCATTGTCAGATGACAGTTGAGAGCACTCAGAATAGCACCTGGGAGGGAAGCCTGGAGAGGATAAAGGCATGGGGCTGGACCGTCCCAAGGGGAGTGGGGACAGAGGGAAGAGGAGGGCGAGAGACAAAATGGACTGAATAAACACCCCAGCCTTGGCCATCTCACTGGACGCCTTGTGGGCTTCAGAGCAGTTTAAATGCTCTGGGTATCACTGCCCGCCTTGTACATAGAAGATTAATAACTGTCACAGACACCATATGGGTGACTCAATCTTCCTGCTACCTAGGAGAGTTCTCTCAAGTCACACAGGTGGTGAATGGTCCCAAGTTTGAGGAAATTTTCTGCCTGGGGTGGCTCCCTCTCCCTTTCCCACAGAAGCCCATCAGGAGCAGAGACCTGCTACAGGTCATGACTCAGGGTCACCTCTCTAAGGCGAGTGGGTGGCTGGATGAGTCTCTGGACCCCTCAGGCCCCCAGGACACCCTCAATCTTCTGCCCTGATCCCTGCAGGATCTGTGGGCGCCCTCACCTCCCTCTCCCACTTCCACTGTGCCCAAGGCGTCCTCACCTCCCTCCCACATGCCCTGCAGAGGTGGGACCCGGAGCTGGCCGCCTTCGCCAAGGCCTACGCACAGCAGTGCGTGTGGGGCCACAACAAGGAGCGCGGGCGGCGCGGAGAGAACCTGTTCGCCATCACGGACGAGGGCTTGGACGTGCCCCTGGCCATGGAGGAGTGGCACCACGAGAGGGAGCACTACAACCTCAGCGCCGCCGCCTGCACCCCAGGCCAGATGTGCGGCCACTACACGCAGGTGCGAGGCACGGCTGGCGGGGCGGGGCCTTGGGGCGGGGGCGGGGCCACGTGCGCGAGGGCGGGGCGGGGCGGGGCCATGGCGGGGGCGGCCACCTCTTCTCTCACCTGCCGGGAAGTCCTCCGAGCCTCTCCACTTCCCCAAAGTGGGTCCTCAGCACTCTCACCCCTAGGTGCTCACTAAGACCCATCACTGCACAGCCAGTATGGGCTGCGGAGGCCTTTGACGAAGTCTGCGTCTCAAACTGCCCGAACTATCGTCATTTTACTCCTTAAAAACCATAAATTTTGTCGGGTTCAGTGTCTCCGGAGACTGACGCAGTAGGATCTCGAGTTCGAGGCCAGCCTCAGCAATTTAGCGAGGCCATAAGCAACTCAGCGAGACCCTGTCTCTAAATAAAGTATAAAAAAAGGGCTGGGATGTGGCTCAGTGGTGAAGAACCCTGGGGTTCAATCCCTGGTACCAAAAAACAAACAAAAACATAAAACCATCTTTTGAAAACCCAGACCACCCTTTTTGGCCTGATCTGGCAAGACATAAGTTAGATGTTACAGAGCCAGTTTCGCGGATGGTAGTTATTGTCATAGGAGAAATTTGGACTGGGCTCTAAGCAGTCCTGCTCTCTCGTGCTTTTGTCTAAAATATGCAGGGCCATTTGCCCCCGGCAGCAAATGCCCCTTAACTTTGCTCTTTTCTCCCTCTCTCTCTCCTGATGTGTATCATGATGCTTAATTTGCTGAATCTAATCCACCTGGGACTAAAAGAGCAAATAGACAACCTTGTTTAATTTTTGCTTTAATTAACTATGTACAAGAGCAAACTGTCTCTGTAAGCGACTCTGGAGGCTAAAGCAGGAGGATTGCAAGTTCCAGCCCAGCCTCAGCAACTTAGTGAGACCCTGTCTCAAAGTAAAAAATAAAATGTCTGGGGATGTGGTTCAGTGGTAAAGTACCCCTGGGTTCAATCCCAGTGCCAATAAATAAATAAGGCAAATTGTCACTGAAGGAAGATTTCGGGGGGCCTTCTGACACCATTCTCTGCCTCTTGCAATCACCTGTTGCTCACGGCTGGGTTCTCACTGCGTTTGAAAGTTAAGTTAAGAGGCATGTGAATGCTAAGGGGTGGGCGGGGGTGGCGGTCTTGACCTTTGTGTTGAGTCCTGTCTTTTTCTCTCAGTGCTTATTTGTCAAATACAAATGACAACATGACAAAAATATCCAAAGAAAAGGAAACCAAACATCTTCCCACCACGTCCTCCAGTTCCATTTCTTTGTGCCTCTTTTAGGTGGTATTTTTAGTCTTGATCTTTAGGGAAGGAAATCTCAACAGCACCCACCCAGATCAGGAAGCTGTGAGGCCCCAGGACCCTCCCAATCCTCTTCCCTCCTGCCCTGCCACCTCTCCCCCTCTCCATGCACACACAAGCTCCCAGAGGGACTGTTGGCGGTGCCCAGCAGGATCGTGTATGCCCAGCTCCACCCCAGCTTTCTCTGGGCTGTGGGAACAGGCACTGTGTGTCATTTCTGCATTGAAGATCTTCAGCTGATAAGCAGAAAGACTCCTAGGCAAACTCCTCCTAGAAATAGCAAGGGAAGGTTGGTGGTTCCACCCATGGCAGCACACAGAGGTCATTTTTTTTTTTTTTTTTTGTGGTACTGGGGATTGAACATGAGAAGCAAGCACTCTACCAGTGGAGCTATATCCCCAGCCCCACAAGAATTTTATACTTAAGATGGAATACATTCTAGCAGCTAGGAGACCCATGCCTAGAAACAGGAAGAGCAGGTTCTTGCCTCCGTGTGGTTTGGGAAAAGTTCCACTTTCAGAGTAACTGCACCAGTGCCCTCCTTGGACTTCTTGTGGTTGATGCCTAAGCTTCTTCCATTTAAGATCCATTTCTTTGTATAAAATGCAAGGATCTTTAGGAATAACCCACAGGAAAAATTCAAGAGGGTATATCAGAACTCTGGAACTGCAGGAAGATTTAAAGAGGGAAGGAGGCACACCTGTAACCCCAATTCTCCAGAGGCTGAGGCAGGAGGATCACAAATTTGAGGCCAACTTCAGCAACTTAGTGAGACCCTGTCTCAAAAAAAAAAAAAAAAGGCTAGGAATGTAATTCAGTGGTTAAGCACCCCTGCCTTCAATCCCCAGTACCTCCCCCCAACCTCCATGCATCAGGAAAAGAGGCCTGGGGAATTGGTAGGTTTGGCAGGGAAGAGTAGACTGTTAGGGAAGAACTCCCCCACCTCCACCTTCTTGTTCAAAAATATTCAAAGAAAAGGAAACCATATGCAGGGCCATTTGCCCCCGGCAGCAAATGACCCTTAACTTTGCTCCTGAACCAGTGATGGGCGGGGGTGAGGGTACCGAAGCCTCCCCTCCAGCACCATCCTCACCTCTTGCAGGGGGAACGTGAAGGGACAGAGGTCCTATCAGGAGGGAATTCCGTGCTCGCAATGTCCCCCTGACTTCCACTCTTGTTCAGTGTGGTCAGGGAATTGATGCCTGGTGTAGGCTGGTGCAGACAGACACCAGTAAGGGACCATGCCACCCAGTTTAGGGCTAAGCTGTCGCGTTGGCTGTCCTTCAGGTGGTTTGGGGCAAGACAGAGAGGATCGGCTGTGGTTCCCACTTCTGTGAGAAGCTCCAGGGAGTTGAGGAGACCAACATCCATCTACTGGTGTGCAACTACGAGCCCCCGTAAGTGCTGGGGAAGCCCCAAGGATGGGGGGAGGTGGGGAGGCGGGAGTGGGCAGAGCCAAGGAGATCTGAACTGGGTCGGGCCTGAGGAAGTGGGTGTCAGTCTGGGGCTATATTCTCCAGGGAGCTGAGAAGGTACCAATGGGGTCGCCTCTCCTTGGTCAGAGAAGGCCACAGGGAGCCCGAGGTCGCCCAGCGATTTATTAGCGGGAGGCAGCAGACCCAGGGGCACTTGTAAACGAGTGCGTGAACGAGTGAAGGGACGGGGTGGGGGTACCGAAGCCTCCCCTCCAGCACCATCCTCGCCTCTTGCAGGGGGAACGTGAAGGGACAGAGGCCCTATCAGGAGGGAATTCCGTGCTCGCAATGTCCCCCTGACTACCGCTGCGAGAACTCTCTCTGTGGTGAGCTGGGCGATCGCGCGGGGCGGGGGCGGGGAAGAGGTCCGCGCCGCTGGACGGTCTGGACGCGTGTGGCAGGGGAGGGGTGGGATGCGACCGCCAGGAACCCCCGGCGGTTCGCTTTGCCTTTTGCGCGTCCAGTTTAGTTTGGTCCGGTCATGCCAGGTGACCAGATTCCAATCTTCCCACGGTCACTACGGAGGGTAGAGCAGAATCCCGAGGCTTTCCAGCAGCGCGCTAGAGGTCCGCTGGAGAAGGCCGGAGAAAAGGGCTCGGGCCGCGCCAGTGGGCGTGGCGGAGGGGCTGGGGGCGGGGCCTGCGGGGCGGCAGGTGCCTTAGGAACCCGCGCGCAGCTGGAGGATGTCCCTGAAAAGCGGCGAGGTCGCAGGGAAACTGGAGAGAGGTGGATGAAGGAGCAATTGTGCCAGTAACAAGAAGGGAGGGCCGGGCGCGGTAGCGCCGTGGCAGAGTGTCCCTGAGTTCAATCCCCGGTACCAAAAAAAAAAAAAAGTAACATTTATTATCAGTGAGGGACATACCCGCTGGGGAGGTGTCCCTATCGCTGTCTGTGCGTCCTGGTAGCCGCGGTTGCCTCGCGTTGGTTGCGGTGGCGGAGGGAGGTGGGGTCCGGTTTGCGACACTGACACGCGGCCTTGGGTGTCTTATCAGAACCCATCAGTGGCCCGGAAGAGGAGCAGGATTTGCCCTCCCTGGAAACTGCGGCCCCGTCCACTCGGGCCACGGAAGCCTCAGGCTCCAGGAAAGCCGGCGCTCCTTCCCCGGCGACAGAGGTCGCGCACTCCTGGGTGACAGAGGTCTCGGGCTCCCCGGCCACGCAGGCCCCGCCCACTGTGGAAACAAAGACTCGGTCCTCCTCAGCCACCAAGGAGCCCTCGGCGACGGCCACAGAGGCTCCGCCTTCCCTAACGAGTGAGGTCCCTTCTGCGTCAACAGCTCACGACCCGCTCTCCTTGGATGAAGGGCCGGTCACCGTCCCCAAATCGACCCATGTTTCTGTTCCAAAATATGCGGACAAAGTAGAAAGCGAGACAAGAGCACCCTCCATAAGCCCAGAGAAACCTCTTTACCCTGAGATGTCCCTGACAGGGATAAGGGAATCCCTACCCCATGCTCAGGAAGAAGCTGAGGCAGAGGCTGAGGCAGAGGCTGAGGCAGAAGCCGAGCTGCTTCCTTCCAGTGAGATCTTGGTGTCAGATATTCCAGACCAGGACAAACCAGATGAGTTGCAGGCCACCCTGGACCACATGGGACAGCCCTCCTCCAAGTCCCGGCCCAATGTCCCCAATGCTTCTTCTGCTGCTAATGCCAGGGGTGGGCGTACCCTGGCCCTGCAGTCATCCCTGCCAGGTAAGGGCTGTAGCCTCCTTCCTTCCCACCTGCCTCCAGCGGAGGTGGCCTGGGCTGGCAAGGTCTGCACCCGCAGCAGGCACTTCCTCCCTGGCCCCAGCTCCCTGCTGGGGGTGGGCTGGTGAGGCCGGTGGCAGCTCTCTCCAGCTGAGCCAAAGCCCCTTCCTTCCCACAGGTACAGAGAGCAGGGAGTGGAGGCTGAGCTCCGGTCACATGTGGGGTCCTTCCCAGGGACTACTGCTGCTGTCTCCCCTGATGTTGGCTGGACTCTTCTGAAGGGGACAACATTCAAGGCAAGCCTGGGGGAAGGGAGGGGAACCCTGACCTCCTGCTCACTCAGGTTGTCTTTTTCCAAGTAAGAGGTCCCCATTTCCTGGGAAGATCCTGCTCTGTGGCCCAAGTGCCTCCTCTGCACCCCAGGTTCTGGCCAGATCCCAGGCCAGCTCTGATCCCCTCAGGAGGCCTCAACAGGACTAGCCCCTGACTGCCTCAGGAGGGAGTGCCTCTTCCTGGGGTGTGGGGGACACAGACTTCTGAGCAGTGTTCCAGTGGCCACGAGTACCCGGTATCTAGTTGTCTTGTGGCCGCAGGCTGCTCTCCTGGAGCCAGAGGATCTAGGGCTTCCCAGGAGCCCCTTGACCCCTTCCAATCTCCTGGCCTCTTCCTCAAGCCATTTGAGTACAGGGCTGTCCCCAGACGTGCCTCCTGCCTTCCCAGGTCGCTGCTCAACTGCCATCTCCCCACCCTGTTCCCAGCCCCTCAGCTTCCTGGCTGAAGGCCCTTGGGGAGGGAAGGGCTGCCAGGCCTGTGCCTCATCCGGCCGCACCATCCCCGCTGGCTGCCAGTTCAGGGACCAAGATGGCTGCACTCCAGCCAGGACCCCTCCTGCCCCAGCATGGATTCCTGCAGGGGGTGGGATTCTGGGCGCGCTCCTGTCCAGCAGGACCGCCCTGCGCTGTTAGGCTGTGGGTCCGTGTGCCCATGCGGCTGGGGAGGCAGGGGCGGAGGCACAAGCCCTACCCAAGTGGGGTTCTCTGGATTGGGAGGCAGGGACCAGAGGAGGCCCCCTGACTCCTGAATAAAGCCTATTTGGGAGCACCCAGTGCCCCAGTGCTTATGAGGGCTGAAGGCAAGGAGGGCGATGTGGGAGGCCCTGCCTAGGCTCTCCCCCCACCAACCTGTGACCCTGGAGTCCCCCTTCACATCTTCTCCCCCCAGATACTCCATCTGTTCCCTTCCTGTAACTCCCCGCCACCCACATCACAGGCCACACAGGAAAGGGCAGGCCCGGGGCTCTGGTGATCTGGTGACTCCCAATGGGGCCTCGCTGGTTTGAGGCTCAGGGTCGGCAAGGTGTCTGACCTTTACAGAGGGTGCCGCTGCCCAGGCCCCCTGCAACGGGGTTAGGAATGCACTGCAGGCAGGGCTTGGCCCTGGTGCTGGAGGAGCCCCGAGGTCGGATTCTGGGGTCCCAGATGCTTTTCCAGGAAAACAGAGCAGGCTCTTCCAGAAGTGCCGTGGGCCAGGAAAACACAAGTGGGGACAGCAGCAAATGGGTGACCAAGGGTGGTGGGGGAAGCAGAGCAGGCCGAAGCAGGAGGGACAGGAATGGCAGGATGGCCTGGTTACAGGCCAGGCTGCAGGCTTCAGAGGTCCTGCCTCATTTTCTTTATATACATTTTTAGCTCCATTAATAACCCACGTTACCTAAGATTTGCCACTCAACACAATATTCTTAGTATATTCACAGGACTGTGTAATCACCACTTCTAGCAATTTTAGAAATTTTCATTATCCCCAAAGAAACACTACACCTGCTAGCAGTCACTCCCCATTTCTAGCCACACCACTCCAGCTAAAGTAACCACTAATATACTATCTACATGAATTGACCCATTCTTAACATTACATATGATTTCCTGGTAAACCATATATAATTTGTGATTGCTTCTTTCACTTGTCTTCAAGCTCATCAATGTCACATGGATCAGAACTTCATTCTTTTTTATTGTCAAGTAATATTCCATTCTCTGGAATTTTTTCCCTCAGTGTTAAGGGTTGAACCCACGGTCTTTTTTTTTTTTTTTTTTTAGGCAACAGGCTCTTTATTTAATGTGGTTTAAAATACATCAATAAAGTCCCTGGCTGTTGTGAATACCAAAAGGAGATTCACTTCCCCCATGCCCCCGCCGCCCAAACCCAGGGTCTTGTGCATGCAAGGCAAATGCTCAACCACTGGGCTACATCCCCAGCCCTCTGGAATGCATTTTATTCGTCCATTCATAATTCATTCATTCAGGTGTCAGCTGGTAGACATTTCAGTTCTTTCCACTATTGAGCTATGAATAATGCCACATTAAGTATTCATGTACCAGTATTTTTTTAACATGAGTTTTCAGTTTGTTTGGGTATATACGTGGAATACCTGGGTCATAGTTAACTTTAACTTTTGGAGAAACCCTGAACTGCTTTTACATTCTCACACCAAGCATGTGAGGGCCTCAGGACCCTTGTTCTTCTCTCCATCACAGGCACCCTAGCAGGTGAGAAGTAGTATCCCCTGGTGGTTTCAATTTGCACTTCCCTGATGACTAACCTGATGGCTATTTGTCTTGGGCTGTGTATTTGTCCTTTCCTGAGTTGTAGGAGTTCTTTATACATTCAGTACAAGTCCTTTATCAGATAAATGATTTGCAAACATTTCCTCCCATTCTGTGGCTTCTCATTCTTTATATTCTTTAATATAAGTTTTAGATTTTGATGTCAAATCTATTTTTTCTTTTGTTGCTTGTGCCTAAGATGTCATCACCTAAGAAACCATTGCCTAATCCAAAGTCGTAAATATTTATACTTGTGCTTCCTTTTTAGTTTTAGTTCTTAAAATCTTTAATCAACCATTTTCAGTTTATTTTTCCTATGAATCCAGCTTCATTCTTTTACATGTGAATATCCAGTTGTCCCAGCATTTTTTGTTGAAAAATTATTCTTTTCTCATTAAATTGTCAAAAATCAATTGACCATAAATTTGTTTATTTCTGGGCTCTGAATTTTATTCCATATGCCAGAGTTTAATTAAGCAGCTTTTGTATTGTATTGAAGTTTTGAAATCAGGACACGCGAGTTCTTGAACTTTGTTCTTCTTTTTCAGGATTGTTTTGGCTATTCTGGGCCCCTTGAATTTCCATATGAATTTTAGGATCAGCTTGTCAAATTTCTGCCAAGAAGTCAGCAGAGTATTTGTTACGGACTGTGTAATCTGCCATGTTAAATCAACCATGAACATGGGCTGTCCCTCCACTTAATGAGCCCTTCTTTAATTTCTTTCAACAATGTTTGTAGTTTTCAAAGTTTTGCATTTTTTGTTAAACATTCCTAAGCATTTTATTTTTATGCTACTGTAAATGAAATTGTTTTTTTTTAGTTTGTTAGTTCTATGTATAAAAATAATTTTTTTCAAAATATTGATCTTGTATCCAGCTACCTTGCTGAACTTATTGATTAAATACGTTTTTAAAAAAATGGATTCCTTAAGATTTTGTATAAGTCATGTCATCTGCAAACAGGTCATTTTTTACTTCTTACTTTCTAATGCATATGGTTTTTACTTCATTTTTCTCATGCAGTTTCCTAATGAGAATCTCCTGTACAATATTGACTAGAAGAGGCAAGAATGGACATTCTCATTCCTGGTCTTGGAGGAACCCATTCACTAATGTACCAATCTGAATTCTGGTTTTCTCATAGATGCCATTTTATCGAGCCGAGGAAGTTTTCCCGATTCCTAGTGCACTGAATGTTTGTTTTGTTTTGCTTTGTGGAGCTGGGGACTGAGCCCAGGACCTCACACATGCTAGACACTCTACCACTGAGCTACATTCCAAGGCTCCCACTGAATCTTTTGATCCGGAAGGTTGTCCGCTTCTGTGTTGATTATGTGATTTTGCTTTGTCTAAGGATAAGAGTGTGTTCCATTAACTGACAGAGGTTCAACCAGCTGCCTTCCTGGGAGGTCCCTCGCCTGTTTTCTTCAGCTAGTGCCAGGGTGTCCTCTTGGACCAGTTCTTGATCTACTGCCAGGGCCTGGGTGGTGGTTGGGTCGGGGGCCCCCTGGAGCAGGACCCATAGAAGCCCACCTTCTCTAGTCTGGGGGTGGCTCTTCCTGCCTTTTGCAAAGAAGGAGCATCTGCTAACAGCCCTCAGGGAACCTGTCACATGAAAGAACCTGCCTAAAATAAGTAGGGACCCGGGAAATTTATTTTTTGGGGAAATACAAGGACACTGGGCATGATATCCGCACCTATCAGGCCAAGCTGTGACAGACAGACAGACAGGTTAGGAGGCGAGATGGGCAGGGAGGAGGCTAGTCAGCACAGGCCTTGAGCATAAAGGGCTTGTTGAAGCAGAAAAGGCGCCGGCACTCTCGGAGGCCGTGGGGCCCAGAGGGGAAAGGTCTGCTGCAGCACTGCCACTCGGCTGCTCGGCCTCTGGGGCTGCAGTGACAAGGGCTGCAGAGGGGCCAACAAAGGACACCCCTGTCACCTCAGGCTTCACTATGAGGGGGTCCCAAAAATCCCTTCCCACTTTGCCCATTAGAACAAGACTGTGCGGCCTGCCTCTGGCCCTTGTTGTGGAGTCGGCCTCCTTTCTCAGGCCAGCACCGGCCATTCCAGTTTCTACGACTGACAGAATACCCTGAAACCTAAAAGACCTCAGGATACTACCTCAAGAGGGCACTGACCCTGCCCAAGGCATTGAATGGCCAAGTCCATGGGCAGCCTCTCCAAATATCCAGGAGGATGTGGCTATCAGAGGGAAGGGCTCTTTCAGGGCCAGCTCAGTACAGGCTTCACAGATCCAAATGCCCCTAAATCCGGGGAATCACAGGAAGTCATCAGTGCAAAAACGAATTTGAGGGTGGAGCAGCAGAAAGAAAAGTGACCCTGGAACAGTGGTCAGGACAGGGGCAATCACAGGGCTGGGGAAAGGGGACAGCCAACTCCCCTCTTGGGACCCGAGGCTCGACTGCTCTAAGGAAATGGTGCTGCGGAGGCCTGGACTGATTCCGCCCCACGCCCTCCCCTTCCCACCAGGGAAAGGGGGTGTGGGACCCAAGTCCTGAGGCTTTGGGAGCCTCAAGCACTAGCTGTTTCTGCAGCAGCTGCACAGGCACAGTTCTGTGTTCTGCCAATCAAAGACAACCACATCAAACTTCCCCTGAGTCAACTGTCACCAGACTACTGCAAAAACATCCCAGGGCCTTCCCTGGTGGGGACAACCACCCCATGCT